CAAAACTCATTGTTGACTAGTAGTCAGCTTTGAATGCAGGACCATTTGAATCAGAAGCAGCAGATGACTTCATGCTAATAAGTTGTGTCCGATGTTTTGTATGCACTAACAGTAGCAAAATCAATTTCGTCATCCGAGGGAGTTGAAGGCAAGTAAGAGTCATTTTCATTTCATTAAGTTAGATTTACGAGAGGCAGAATATGGTTTTTGGATCACATTATTTGACTTTTGGCAAAGAGTTATATTTGACAAATAATTCTTGAGCACATTCGTTATACTTGTTTCAAATATATGTCCATAATTGAATAACCTTCCTCTTTTACCTATTCGCTATGAGAAAATGTCACAACACGAAACTCATGACTAAGACAATGTTTTTAAACCGACCGTGCACATCATGTTGAAAAAACAGGAAATTTTTTTATTTGTTCAAATGCTATTTATACCTACAAATATAAACATTCACTCGCTTTCTGTTTCTCTTGACACATAGTTGTGAAGCATTGCAACTTGCACGTTTAAAACGGCTTAAGAAACTACGGTCTTTTTCTATTTCTGATGATTTATCTAATATAAATTTTCTGAATCAGTCACAATCTGTAGAAAGGATAATTTCATCGCTTTCCGAATGATTTTCTGCCTATATGCGCAACAGATATAGTTTTTGAGATGAATTACTAACATATGTTGCTGACACCAAACGTCCCTTAATTGAATGATCATCCACCGTCTCACACTATTTCTATGTTAAAGATTGTTGTTGCACGAAGATAAAGAGTTTATTAAAAAGAACTCAGTTCATCTCACACATTTGATGGCCAACATCAACCTCGATCTTGAATCGATCGCAGATGAACGTGTGCATGGAAATGTCAATGGAAAAATGGTCTCTTGCCCAATTTGTCATCATCTTCTCTGGGATCCCGTTGCATGTAAATCATGCGAAAACACTTTCTGTTCTCGATGCCTTCAGCAATGGCTAATGACAGAACCAAACAAGTGTCCATTCAATTGCCAGTATGAACAACGCAAATGTCCACCTCTCCTGATGACTATCTTGTCAAAACTGACGATTGATTGTCAGTATAAAACAAACGGTTGTAGTCAAGTGGTGGCCTACGAAGCATTAGAAAAGCATGAAAGGGAGTGTGGTTATAATTTGGTTCGCGGAGAAAGATGTCACCAAAATCAGCTTGATTCACCAAAAGAAGAAGTAAAAAGAAAGACATCTAGGTTGAAAGTGATGGAGGAGATGCTGAAAACACAATTCGAACAACTAACGAGATTGATAAATGAGAATGATCGAAAGTATACGATTGCTATTGGTCATCTGACAGAGAAGATTGAGAAACTAGAACAGAAAAGTGAGTATATACGTAAGAGAAGCTGTTCGTCGACATGCCATTATTTAACTAGTTTGAGGTCGAGCATGAATCACGCATACAAGATGTTAGTGGAAAATTCATCATGTTTGTAGGTGCAAAACTGCAGTGAACCTTATGCTCTATAAGCTGCTCTCACATCATCACAATCTCAGTTCTTATTTCAGAACAACCACATCTCTCTTCATCGACGACATGGTATCAACACGCAGTCACTGTGGCAGGGTTAACAAATGGCCAACCTGGATCATCCTTAAACCAGTTGAATAATCCATATGATCTCTTTGTGGATAGGGAGAATAACGTGTATGTGGCAGACTGTTATAATCATCGTATTACGAAATGGGAAGAGAATGCATCAAGTGGTGAGATGGTGGCTGGAGGAAACGGTGAAGGGACTGCTTTAAATCAGCTGAACTATCCAAGAGCTGTGTTTGTGGATAATGATGGGAATATCTATATTTCAGACAATGATAATAATCGTATCCAGAGATGGAGTGACGGAGCGATTGTTGGACACACAGTTATTGGCCCGTGGATTCCGGGTTCAGCTAGTAACGAGATTAATCAGTGTTATGGTCTGTTTGTTGATAGGCGAAGGAATATCTACTTATCAGATCACCGCAATCATCGAATAATGTTGTGGAAAGTGAATGCAAGTGAAAGCATCGTTGTTGCTGGTGGAGGTATCGTTCAGCATTGCTTGTTGTCTCATGCTAAGATGATAGAGGTGGCTGATGGTTACCAGTAGAACGACAGTCAATCTTAATGACATAGTTGATGAACATACACAGATATGGCGAGGGTAGCGGTTCAGTTCAGTTATCAGGTCCTTGTGGTATTTATGTGGATAACAATGAGGATATATACATAGCTGATTGTTCTAATCATCGCATATAGAAGTGGTGTAAAGGGTGTGCAGTGGGTATCACTGTGGCTGGTGGGAATGGTTATGGAGCCAGGTTAGATCAACTCAATCGTCCAGTGTCTGTTACACTCGATCGACATGGAAATATATATGTAGCTGATTGCGGAAATCACCGCATAGTGCAGTGGCTGGTGGGAATGAGATCAGGACGAGTGATTGCTGGAGGGAATGGTAAAGGTAGTCATAGGTTGAGTGGTCCACGATCAATAGCATTCGATGCACATGGTTTCTTGTATATAGCTGATACTGATAATAATCGCGTGCAGAGATTCGCCATTCAGAGTATGTAGGCGTTGTGTTTTAATCAACAGAAGTTGTCATCATGGATTTTTGTTGGTTTCTGATTATTATGACGTACTTTAACCTATGACTTAGACCATCTATTTAAATCAGTTTTATGCCATTCGGCACAGTTACTGCTAAAGGGACATAGATGTTATCCGAAACTACTAAGTGACACAATTAGGCATGCATCAATCCGATAGTTCGGTGACCGAACGGTTCGTATCTTCTCGTCGGAGATATCGGCGAGCGCTCTGTTAAGAAACTGTTAGGACAAAGTACCATAAACCTCATAAAGATACATTTCAATTAGGGCTACAACTTTCTGTCTACTTTATTTGTACAGCGAGGCCAAAACAGACGAAGTTTTGCACGAAAACAAACTAAATCAATCTGCTGCACAGACCACATCAGTAAAGTATGCTTTAGCTACACTGTAATGTTGGGAATTATTTATAGAAAATGCTCGGCTATTTTCAAAAAGTTCATATATACATATTCCTTCTAGATTCTAGAAGATCGAATTTACGAGAAACTTGGAAATTCGATTGTGATTTTCTATAAATAAATCCCAAGCTTCTTGAAATTTGAGGTCGAATTTCTACAAGTAATTCCTAAGACTTTGGAAATTCCACATTGAATTTCTAAAATGTTGGAAAATCGATCGATTTTCTGTAAATAATTTCGAAGATTCTTGAAATTTCAAGTCGAATTTGCAGTTCGATTTTCAAGAATTATAGAAAATGCTCAGCGATTTTCGATATCTGTATAAATCTTGAATAGTTTTTGGGTTGGTTAGATATTATTTTCTTATATTTTTATTTTTATCTTTTGTATTCTGTAGGGCACTCTGTCGTACTGTACTGTACCAACCAACAGTATGCCAAAATTCACAGCTCTTACGGTACCGTTCAGACAATACCGAAGCTGTTCAGTCGAACGTTAGGTCCGTAAGGAACTTGAAGATTTTCTTAAACTCTTTTACAGTGCAGATTATATATATATGTAACAGTCCCATATATGGGCACTGCAAAACAAAACCGGTGACAGAGACAACAACAAGTATAATTTATTCATTTTTGCATCTAGTGGACCAATGGGGTTCAAGGTTAGACCCTCTATAATGTAGTATCAGAAAGAATATCAATATGTGCGAAATTCGAATTTCAAGAATCTTGGGAATTATTTATAGAAAATCGATCGATTTGCTAGAATATTAGAAAATCAAACTCGAATTTCCAGTATCTATAAAATCGACGCCGAATTTTCATATTTTTGGAAATTCTATGGCGATTTTCTGAATAAAATGAAAATTCAATTTATAGAATCTAGAAAATAGAAAATCAGAATTTTATAGAAAGCCAGAAAATCGACAGGGAATTTATTAAAGTCAGAAAATCGGCGGTGATTTTTGAGATCGATTTTCTGTAAATCAGAAATTCCAAATTATAGTGTAGAAAGTAAATAAGATATAATAAAAACTAAAGGTACTTTGAACTTACCGTAATAAAACACATGTAAAGTTACTGCTCTAATTCAAACTTTTCTTCACATGACTACCTACGGCTACGGCGAAATCATGGTTGTACCTTCGTTTGGTGTAATCTTCATCATTTTTTCTGTTTTACCAAGATTTCTTTTATGTGTTTTTTCGCTCTCGTGTTTTTAGCTTCACAAACTATATTTTTACAACCTTCGGTAGCGAACCGTTCGCTGCCGATCAGCTTGGGGTTGTTGCATGCCTAGACACAATGTGGTAAGAACAATCATTATTTGTTGTTTACGCAAACAAACTTTTTAATTAACTTTTCTCGATACAATTACATTTATTCTCAGGGTTCGTTGTATACGATACTGTTTTTTCTGTTATGGTTGCGAATGAGAGAGCAGTTTATTACCGATAGCGTAAAGTGTGATTTGTAAAATGTTAAAGGGAACAGTGTTCGAATATATCTTTAAATGTATATATATCTTGTGGACAAATTTCGAATTTGTCCGAACAGAGTTGAAATTCGAATTTCGTTCGGACAAAACGGGAGTTCCAATTCTGTCCGGGCGAAATCACAATACCAGTTTTGATCAACTTAAAAAATGAGAATCCGGACTAAATTAAAATTTCCCTGTATAAAGAAATTATAAATGATAAAGGTAAAAGGTTGATGCTGTCCGTTAAAATCATGCTCTTAGCCTCTCCTATTCAGTAATGAGCCATATCCATGTTCTTCATAAAGTAAACCATAGCTAGTTTGAGGTTAACCAGTAGTAAACCATAACTAGTTTGACGCATTTTATGATGTAATAACTGTTTCGCATGGAGATCGTCATAAAACAGTTTCTGAACTTAATAATCACTGTTCATGGTTACCACGATCTTATGTTGAAAGGCTGTTAAAACAATGTATACCTTGTTAAAGAAGAAAGCCAAGTAAACAACATATTGTTCCAAAACCAATAATATCATTGGGTTTGATGACAAAGGCTACTCGAAGGTCACTCTAAACGAGAAGCTTGTAAAAATATGGGTGAATAGGTTAATATGGCATGTACTCTCTGAAAAAAAAAGGTACTCTTCCGAATCTAAAAAGGGTTTAAACTTTTGTCACCGTTTATAAACCTTCTTAAGGTTCTATACAGCATCTTAAATCCGTCATTGGGAAAAACTTACACAAATAAAGTCCTATCAGTCTAACTAAGGTTTTCCCAGTCACGGATTTAGGGTGCTGGTGAGGTACATAGTTCGTATGAAACCTTAAAAAAGTATATAGATGGCGAAATCACTTGAGCTAAAGCAAATTTGTTTTCGGCTGTCATGGTAAGCAGATCCAGCTCGAAAATACCTCGCTCGATGGCGTCAGTAATTAGTCTTACATTATCAACTTCACTCATCTGCGCCACGTCATTCGATTTCGTAATTACACTAACGATCATCTGTTCGGCATTCAAAGTGTGTGCATAAATAATACCAACAAGAGATGTCTTGATCTCCCGCAGACTTAATTCGAGAAAAAAACGATTGATATCCAGTACATACTTTAAAATTTTGTCGCCATTAGCTTGACCAATACTCTCTTCGTACGCCTGACGTTGAATAGCATCATGATTAATGAACTGACTTTTGACAATATCGGCTGTAACATCATGCAAAATTTTAGCAAGTAATATTCGACCGACTTCATCAAAAATCTCTTCGGCAACAATATTTGCCACATTTTTTCCTTGTTCAAATGAGTTTTGCATCAGTTGAACTTGCCTGTTAATGCTATCCTTCCACTCTGCCAAATCGCTCCGTGCTTTCTCGTTCGCTTTCTTATGACGTTCGTGCTCAATCTTGACAGCGTCATCGATCAACATCTTCAACGCAATCACTGCCAAATCTGACACCAGCTGTGGTCGACATAAAAATTGAGAATTCCGTTTAATGACATCGGTATTCAGCAGATTTTCGATTAGTTCAATCGTATAAGTAATTAAGCGTTCGTCGGAAGACGATTGAAATCGCTCGTTGATCAATTTACCGATATCGATGCGCAGTTGGGGCAAAAGTTCGACAAAAATGGAAAACAACAATTTTTTGTTCTTGCAACAATTATGGATGTCTGGGAACCACCATCGTACTTGCTCTTGAAGACAGTGCCAAAGCTCGTTGGCATATTCATTCGAAGAACTGTCATGCACAAACCTTTTGAGAACTCGAATGAGTGGATGGTTTGTATCAGGTTCTCGAGGCTCACGCATCACCAACACTCCCACGTACCCCTAAATCGATCGCACACTTTTTGAAATTCATGCCTCTGAAGCTGATGAAGCAGATTGTAGATGTTATTCCGTGATGTGTTGGCGGTTTTACTTTGCAACGCCGAATTATAGAACTTGAGAATTTTGTCAGTAATTTGGTCGAGATCTTCAAATTCTGGTTGCATCGTTCGATTACACGCCTCAAGTTCAGCGACATAGGCCATTTCGATTCTGCTTTTCAAGTCATCGACAGACAAATTTGTGTTCTGATCGAATTTTTGTTGTACGGTATCGATGAGACGTCGCTGTGCGCTCGAGATGCGCGCATCATGTCGAGCTCTATGCAAGCGCTCGTTAAACTCATCTCGCAGTATTACCTGTGTGTACATGATTGGTGGTTCGATCATCTTCTGCACTTTATGCTTTAGTTCAAGTTGAAAATAACTTCGATCTGTTTTGGAATTGAATTCCGTATGAGCATTGCCTAGGATCTTTTCATGGAGTTTTTGGAGAGCCACATTGAACTGATCAGTGAAGTGAGCAGAGTCAAAGTCACCTTGATTTTCATGTGTGATCGCGGCTAGCACATGATCGATCCGTAGGCGACCTTCTTGATTGACATTATTAATGCAGCCAACAATAATTTCATTGGCAATATCACGCAATTCATTCATCACTGATAGTTCATACAATGTTTTGCACGCTAGTAAATTTGGTCCTAGCCTGTCAATAGCATCCCAGTTACATGCAATCTTTTGGTACAAATGAGACACATCGGTGTATGGCTGCAAACTAGTATCGCCCAGACTCGCAAAGATCATTTTTCGCAACTCAAGTATTTTCGTCGGAAACGTACGATTGCGCCATGTTTGTTCAATTGCCAAAATAGGATTCGTATCACTTGAAAACGCATTTGGCAGCAGAATAAGCTGTTGATCATTAATCTCAAGTTCTTCATCAATGGATGATTTTAGAAACTTGCTGTCGTTGTACAAATTTTCCTTAAATTTTGACAAGTGTCGGAAAAACACACCGGTAACATTTGTATCCGACTGATCGCGCAGAACGAAGAGAAGTTTAGGCTTCAGCGGAGATCGAATTTGAAGTTTTGCATAGAAGCTCATGCCAATGAGGTGTTTAAGATTCGAGCTAAACTCGCCTTTGTGATTGATGAGCACGATATTCGACGATAGCATTGCCATTGACACCATTCGATTGTCAAAGATCGAGCCTGATTCTTCTAGAGATAACAGACCTTCGGTATCGGAAATAATGATTGTGTGATCTTGCCAGCGCACGACGCTCATATACATGCCGATAGTACATCGCCCAGCACTGACGCGAAAATTGCAGCCGAAAGTAGAGTTTGGCAGAGACGATTTAGCCGAAGACTGCTCGCCGATAACAGTCAATACGAGAGACGCTTTATTAGTCGATTGGTGAACGTACTGTAGACACACTTGCATCAGTTTGCTGTGACACCGAAGAGGACGACCTCGCAAAATGTGGAAGGAGAAGCCCTTGTACATCAGTTCAGAAAGCTTTCGAGCTAAGCTATCTAGCAAATTCTTAGATTTGAATAGTTTCGGCGAATACTCGTAGACGGCCAATATTTCATCACAAAATAGACCAATAGTCAAATCAATATTAGCTAGCTGATTTTCAATGTCGACGACGAGCTTTTGGTGATCCTTATACTCCTGCTGCATGATTTGTATGAGATTGAGAATATTTTCTTTTTCTTTGACCTCATGTTGGGTTTGCTCCTCAAGCTGTTTGATGCGTGATAGATGAGCGATGACATTGTTCTTAGCTACTGTCATTCGATCAAGTAGGATTGATTCGAACTGAGTTCGCCACTGCTCCAAATACATTTCTGTGATCAATAATTCGATGTATGGGCGTTTCACGAGAAGGTCTATGAAAAATGTGGTATACTGAGGAATCTGAGTAATCTTTTCACGTTCCTCGCGAAGATGTTCCAGTTGCGCTCGAATATCATCCGGTGATTCGTGCCACTGGGCGGAAAGCTCTTTTTCGCATTTTAGAATGGCCCCATCCAGATAACTAACCGGAGTGGTGATGAGTAAATTTTGGGTCTTGTCATCGAGATGACTGAAGAGAGCATCAAGTCGCGAACAGATCTCCATTGTGTACAACGGTGGCGGGCTCGCATTAGTCAATGATTTGACAGCCAGAAAATAGGATTGTAGAGCGAAAATCGATTCACAGCGAGACTGATCTTCAATACCTACTTGCAATGAGTGAAAGCAACTGGTAAATGATTGCTGTAAATGTCGTACTCGTCGGACATCGTAAAAAGTAGGATTCACTGACGTCGATTTAAGTATTGGGGCGGTCATGAAAAACACATTGGGCCACTGCTCACTTTGAAATCGCTCTTGAAAATTTGAAATAAGCGTCGTTGACGGGCTATTCTTGCCATTGTAATTCGGGTCGAAAATGACGACAATCGTCGGCTTGATTCGGGTTTCATTTGAATAACCCATTACGCCAGAGAGAAATTCGCTTTGATGCAAATCAGCTTCTGTCACACACAGAAGTTGCAACGAGCAAAAATGTTGAATAGCCTTAATCAAATCTTCGTTCAGTGTGGTCATTGTACCATGTACATCAAACACCGCATAAGAGTCGTTCTTGTACATTTTTGCGAATACAGTGTCAATGCAGCTTGATCGTAGTTGAGCGTTGCCCTCAATATTCAGGGAGTCGCTTCGTTTGTCGTGAAAAACAAGTGGAAGGAGGCTTGTCTTTCCCAAGCCAATGGCTGACGGGCTACCCATGAGGAGCATAAATCGATCGCGAGTAAAACATAGTGTTTCAGCGAGTAAATTGAGATTAATTTTAAATTCATTTGGAGTGTAAAAGGCTAAAGGAATAGGCAAACTGTTTTTTCGAAGTACATTGCCAAGAAAGCGTTGACTGTCGAATGAGAGCGATTCTATAGTGCACACGAGCAATGTATATTTAGTAATTTGATCGATAATATCGAAAAATGAATCTGAATTGTTTCTTGACATATCCAGACACAGTGACAAGACGTGCATGACATCCGATAAACCATGAAAGCGTTTCAAACTGTCTATGACATAAGGCTTCAGACAGTGTTGTTGACGGATATTGTGCATGAGAATAGATACATCGAGTGGTTCGTCAACGATTACATGGAAACAGGCATCGAGTTGCTGATGCTCACTTTTATTTGGTGGCGAACACAAAAAGGTAAACGATTTTGAAAGAAGGTCAGATTCGTGGGCATGAAGTATGTCAAGAGTAACTGGCGTAGTATGAATAGCATTACATGGCTGAAGAAGTTGGGCAATATCAAGTCGCACGGTAACTCGTTCAGTGCCATTCCACTTGCAATGTACCTTCGATTCTGTTCGTGCTCAACCTAGCGATATTTTCAAATTGCATGCATTTTGGATTTTCTTAGCAACTAACACGATAACAGTGATTTGGATTGAATAACATGTGCAACATTCGGATCAGCTATACTCGATATGGACTAAAATTAAGCTTGGTGAGTACTAGCCAACTCGGATTCTCACAGAGTAGCATATCTACTTCGGTGACTGATGTGGAGAATTCAGGTATGACAGTAACGACACCAGGGTTTGTTATTTGTAACTGAGTCGCTTCTCTACCACAATAGTGGAATTCAAGATTATATGAAATGATTATCTTACAATTCTTACTTTAATTTCTTCCGTTCATTGTTGAACAGTACTCTATGTTTGAAACTGGAGATTGGCTCCTTGATCATGCTATCGTCAAGCCCGTCGCTCATTAGCACACTGCCATCCACTTCGTTTTCTGGAACACAGAAAAAACACAAGAGTGAAATAATTTGGTATGGAAATCTTTACTAACCTTGAAACGATAAAGTAAGCTGCTCGAGCTTGCATTTTCGCAACCAAGCAGCAACATCCAGCATGGACCACGTTGCCGGATCGCTTGAAAGCGGTACGTACGGACAAAATGGCAACAGTCTGGTACGAGAAAATAGTAGAATTTTCTGTGTCCGTTCTACTATTTTCTCATACCAGACTATTGCCGTTTTGTCCGTACCACTGTTATAAAGAAAAAGAAAAAGAAAGAATGATGTGATTCGAAACGTCACGAATAAATGAAAATAATTTTATTAGGAAGAAAATACCCTTTGCGAAT